GTGTCCACCACCACACTCCCATCAAGTCCTTTTAACCTTCAGCGGCTGAGAGGTTGAGACAGAAAGCTTTGGTTTGCTTTTGCATTTGCTGAGCTATGGGACGTGCTGAGAAAGGAGGACTGAACGGGCAGCCCAAGGTGCTGGACTAACAGCAGAGTTCAACGATGCACTACGGAAGGGTGCCCACCTCTCCAGCCTGGAAGTACCAGGGATGTGCAAAGAATGGCATTTTCTCTGCACAGTGACTGTTCCATAGAAGTGTCCTTGGGCATGACAAATTTCATCACTGCCAAGTGCCACACTGCAGGAACAGCCTTTCCTGTCCTGCACACCAGAGGAATAAAAACTGAATGAAGAGGGTTTCAAGCATGTGGAAGGGAACTCTGTGACGACCTGGGACACCCAATTTGTGCTGCCTGAGAAGTCTTTTGCTACCATTACCTGTGCTTGCAGAGCCATGAGAACTCAGGTAACGCCTGCATGACTTTGTCACACAGTCCTACCTGCCACAAGGCTCGTGGCCTCTCAGGAAGATACCGTAACACACAGGCTAGCACAGAGCAGACCTGGGAATGCAGTTTGGCTGCAGACTGTCTGACAGCCCCAAAGATCCAAACAAATTCATTTAAAGCTGTCTGTGCTGCAGCAGGGACACAGCCAGAGAAACAGCACCACACCAGGAGGATGTGGAAAAGTGAAGGAGCTCATTACTGTGAGGGGCTGAGCATCAAAAGCAGAATTCACACACTAAAATACTTGAAAAGAGGGGAAAAAAGTATGGGACTGCATGTTGTTGACTTTTCTGCAGGGTACACATGAACTGCATCTTCCATCAAATGGTGGGGGCTCAAACACAACCTCTCCTTTCTCCAGATGGAGCAGAAGAAGGAGCAAGGAGGAGCATGTGTGGCAAAGTCAGGGTTGAACATGTGCAACTGGGACAGAGAAACAAAGTCAGTAGGAGAAAACAGGTGGTACAGAAGCAGCTCCAAATATTAAGGTGGACTCTTTTGTGGTGGACAAAAAGGGAAAATGCCAGTGAGAAAATGTCAGGTCAACAGCCTAGACCCCTGGTTTAGAGTTTTGAGGGATAGTCTACCCTGCCAAGCCATACCAAGAGGAGATATGCAACAGGATAACAGACCCAGACAAGAGCTCTCTTGACTCACTTACTGAGATTCTGTTGCTTGTGAAACCAAACATTTGGATGGTGAAGGACAGGACACAGAGCAGACAGTATCACAAATCCTCTGTTTGTATTCAGAGGCTGTGAATGATCAATCAGGCACAGTGGAACAAGTATGCCTTCAAACAGGAGAGTTCAACAGTTCCATGGGGAATTCCACCAAACCTCTTTTCCATATCCAACCCCTGTTCCTCTCTGAAACCTCTCAGAGCTAGAAGCTCAGGAGGAGACTGCCATGAGGAAAATTTCTGTACAAGACTGACTTCTTACCAGTCCTTGAGGTTTATGAGCTGTTTATTTTCCTGTTACACAGATTGCCTAGTTAAAGCAGTGGTTTGGTCAATCACTTTGAAGCTGCAGCACTCTCTTCAGCAGAAATTTGCTCCATAAGGCCCATGAGGCTCCTCTGAGTGATCTGAGGGATGGAGGGGACTGTGAAGGTGCTTCTGTGAGGTCCTGTGGAAGGAATTCAGCTGTGACAGCAACAGGAGCTGTACAAATGAATACACAGAGCTGATTGTGTCATCTTATGGATATTTACGTGGTCCATAAAGGACCACAAAGCTCTAGTAATGGTGTCAAATGAGGTCACAGAGCCAGAGACAGCAGCATGAGAACTTTGGTCTTTTCCAGTCATTAGTGATTGAGTGAGTGTCTGGCACTTCTCAGGAAGCTGGGCTTTAATGGGTCAGGAGAGAACTCCTCCAGAGACATTCCCTTCCCACTATGCAGGTCAGTGTGACAACTGGTGAGAAGTTATCCCCTCCCAACACTCCATCAGGGCAGCCTGATCTTGTGGGTGGCATTCCTGCCTGTGGCAGAGGGGTTGGAACTGGGTGATCTTTAAGGTCATTTCCAACCCAAAGCATTCTGTTACATATCTGAGCAGAGCAGAAAAGAGAGAGCTGAGCAGGAGTATGACATTCACCATTTTAGCAATGTAAAAAGGGAAACTGTTTGCTGTCTCTCACAGCACTCACAGTGACATCAAATGGACTAGCAAGTGGCAGGTTGAAAGCAGACCACAAGAGAAGCTTCACACAGCACTTTATTAAGCTATGGAACTGCTTGCCACGGGAGGTTCAGGATGCCAAATACTTACCAGAATTCAGAAAGCAGTTGGAGAAGTTCAGGGGAGAAAACTTCCATCAAGACAAAGATACCAAGTGTGTTTAAGCAGCTGCTGAGCTGCAAACTGCTGGAAACCTTTGCCTTCTTCTTCCAAGTCTCCCATGAGCTTCCACTTCTGATAATTTTGGAGACCAGCATTTCATAGCTGGTTCTTTTTCTGGCTCAGAACTGCAGTAGGATCAGCCAAGGAACAGAAAGCAGCAGAGCTCTGCAGGGGTTTTGAAACAATCTCAGGCCAGCTGAGAGAGAGCTGGTAGAGCTTTCAAACTGCCCTGGCCACGACTGCTGTGGGACCAAGAAGATCTAAACTTGTTGGAAGTCAACCTGCATGGGGTGGTTAGAAACCTGCACAGAAGGACAGTGTGAGTTAGATTTGCAAGATGAAGAGTACAACTGCACACTGAGGGAGGCACAGGAGTAGGGGAACAACACCAGATTAAGTTTTTATTATACTTGCTTTAAATACATTTTAGGCATAGACTGCTAAACTTAAGAAGACTTAAACTAAAGTAAGACGATTATACTCTGATCAATAATACACATATAATTAGATTATACATAATATACGTATAATCAGATTATACTCTGATCAATAACTAAAAAAAAACAAACACAAAAGGTCACTTTTAAAGCCACCTGTGGATCTCCACAGAGATGCTTTTACTTTTTTGATGAAAGCATTTTGAGTTTTTGCTGTTTCCAAAGTCCAGACCACATCCTGGCATGGAGAAGCCTCAAATCTCTCTGATGTTTCCTCTCTGCTCAGGGGGTTTGGAATTGCCAGCCCCTGCAAACACGGTGCTCAGACTCCGAGCTGACCACCTGTGGCTCAAGCACACATCTCCTGCCACTTTAAAGAAGCACACCAAAAAGCCTCTTTCAAAGAAACCCTTCAGGCTGCTGCGTTTGAAGAGGCAGAGACAAAAGCTTTTGCAACTAGTGCCTGCAGAGCCTCTCCTGGGCAGGCGACTACGCAGCAGATTTCCTTGGGGAACCCATTTTTTCTCCCTTCTGCACCAGTTTCTGCAAAGGACAGCTTTGCTGGCAGCTCAGCCAGGGCTCCTCAGCTGGGGCAGAGGAAGCTGGAGCTCCTGTTCCCTGCCAGGGGAGGCTCTGCCCCTCTCTTTGCTGCTCCACACCAGGGCAGTTACCTGCAGGGCGCTAAGAACTCAAATCCAACAGAGAAAATCCTCCCTGGAAAGCCTTGTGCTATCCAACAGCAGCTGTGGCTGAGGTCTGGGGCCTCTTCCACACAAGGTTCTTTTTCACTGAGGATGTCCAGCTCTGACCTCTGCCAGCCTGTGAGTGATGCCCAGAGCTGCTGGGTCCATACCATCCAAGGAAGACAAATATCCACCTCACCAGGTGCAGCCTAAATGTCAACATACAAATGTGTCCATGCATCCCACCTCTCTCATCTGTCACGCCCAAATCCCTTTAAACCATCTCGCTCACAGTGTTTCTGCTCCACAGTCAGCCTGCAGGCTCTCTGTGTGAGGAAATAGCATTGTGATCTTATTCTCTCCTTGGTGTGAATGTCACATCTCCACTTGAGTAATTACAAATAACTGGCTTTGAGCAGGCCACATTTCCTCTCTCAGCCCCTGTTTGTAGCACACTCCATCCTGTTTTGGCCCTAATTACAGAGAATAATAAATCCAGCTAGACTGTGCTTTTCTGAAGAGCAATTTGGGCTGACTAGAGCCAACACTAATGAGTTTGTTAATAGAGGGATTTTCCTTCTCCCTCCCCTCTTAGGTTTCCATAAATAGCACCACACACATGGTAGCAATCCCCTGCCACAGCAGGTGATGCCTCTCCCTGACCCATATTCTCCTCTTCTCCAAGGCAAAAAGAAGCAGAATATTGCACCTCCCAACCTTTTCCTTCTTTCAAATGAGGTAGAAAGCAAGCATGATTAATAACTGTTTGTTAACAATTAATGGGGAGGATCACCCATTCCACAGGCGTGGCAGGCAGAAATGCTGGGCTATTCCAGCCTGCCTGGTCAGAACCAGCACTGGGGCCTGGAAGGCAGCTGTGTGATGGAGAATCTGTTTAGCTGCTGGCCCAAATGGGAAAAAAACCCACAAAAATCTCATCAAAATATCACTTTCTTTGTTTTTTTTTTCACCAAAACAAAACTTTAAAGCATCTCATACATATTTATATATATATCCCAAATGAAACCTTTCAAGTGCCCCACAGGAAATATGTTCTACCTCAGTCTCCCCTGAGAGAAGCAAAGGACACAAAGGGGTGGATGTTCTCAAAAGATCAACAGCTTCTGTCTGTCCCTTCTTTAATAAAAGCCCTGCCAGGAAAGGGAAATGCAGATTTACTTTCCCCTTTACCTGGAGAAAAAAGAGTTGTATTTTCACTCCTAAGAAGACATTTCCTAACAACAAGGAATTTGTCAGTGACTTTTTGAAAAATCCCACCCCCAGTTTTTGTCCCCAGCAAATTTAAACAGCATTTGCAGGCACAGGTGTCAAACTTCAGTTACTATTAACCCAAACCTAAGAAGAATCCTATTTCATGGTACTGAAAAGAAATGACTACATGGGTGGCTTTGCCTACACTGGCTCTGTAAAGTGAAAGCCAGACCCTGGAATTCCAAAACTCATTTTCTATTAAAAAAAAAGTATTTTTTATTTTCATCTTTTAGTTGGAAGTCTTGTCAGAAGCAATTCCCTAAGTTCAACACAAATTCATAGACAGTTCCAGCTCCCCTTCAACTCAGAACATTCCTAGAGTATTTTCATGCCTGTTCTGGATCTGGAGACATGTCATAGATAGAACATTTCTGTTCTTGGATCATTTACAGTCTCAATTTAACCTAATGCAGTTAAATCTGGCACAAGGAGAGAAGGTCCTTGATTTGATGTGTGGGGTGCAGAGAGGTACCAGTGATTCTGAAGATTCCAGTTCTAACCTCAAGCTCTGCTTTTTTCCCCCTCTAACTCCCTTATTTGACAAAACTATTTTCTCATATCTCTCTGCAGCCCATTTATTATCCTCTCTATTAATAAACCCTCCTTCCCTGATGAATCACTGCAATTTATCATTAAATTAGAAGATGAAACGGGTCTTTTTTCTTTAAACAAGGAGATTAACTACTATCAACAGACTATTTCTCCATTATAAAACTCCATCTTCCTCACCAATTCAGGAGTATCTTTGTCTGAAGCAGCCCTAAAGGTGATGCAAGGAGGGAGAATCAATCAGAGAGGTGATTCTCATGTCTTCAGAGACATCCTGCAATATAAATGTATGGATCAACCTAAAAATGGCTGGCTGTGGAAGAAAATACATGACATTATGACCATGATTCACTCTGGAGTTTTCTAACAGTACAACTATGAAAAAAAAAATAAAAAACGTTTAACTTGTACGTAGATGAGACTGCCAGGAACTGATACGACAAAGCACAGTCTAGACAACAAAACCCATCTGTGCATGCATAGCCCAGGGATTAATCACACCCCAAAAGGTCACTCAGGAGAAGAATTCAGCTAAATATGAAGCAACCTCCTGCTGGAAACCCATGCCTGCCCCTCACACTCGTTCTGTATCACACAGGTCCTGGGAGATGTCCCTCACCAAACTGCTTAAGTTTAGCACCATCCCAGACAGAACATACCCAGCTCCTCTGTGGCCAGGAAAGCAGGTCTGAGCCTTGTGAGCTTCTCTGCATCATTTCACTCTCTGCACATCTGTCTGTGAGATTAAAACTCCATTTACTGTGATGCTTTGGATAGGAACAGCTGTATCAGGGGGGTGGCAAAGCCTCCGTGTTTTCTGAGGTCTCTTTCTGCCCCATAAGTGGTGCCAGCAAGAGGCAGATCAAGATGTGAGAGGGATGAAGGCCCAGCACACCCAGTGCTCCTCTCCACAAAACCACTTCAGTGCTAGAGCTGCCCTTGGCTGGTGGCTTCTGCTGCAAAAGTCAGCCCTGGGAAGGCATAACAAAGTCAGTCAGCACTAGGCACCACAGAAAACAAAAAAACCCAGTATCATTCCCTAACAATCTCCAGATCCAACCCCTTCACACACCTAGTAATTTGATTTCTATATCCAGCATTACAGAACTTGTTTTCTTTTATTCTTGGATGCTAAGGACATAATCTGTCTTCTGACCCCACAGGTCTGGGAGTACCGAGAAGAGAAGATGGAATGAGGATTTTATGCCACTGTCACCATTTGTCTGTGATGAACTTTCTCCTATAAGGAACACGAGCTTATCAAGGCAGAGACAGCCCTGCCAAGCACCCTTCCTGTGTGTCAGCATGCTCCTCTCTCCAGATGTCATCTCTTCTGGAACAGCACTCTCTGGCTGGGCTATTCACAGGCCCGTGTCAGCTTTCTGCATTGAAGGAATCTATTAATTCCAAGTAGGGGCTCATTCTCAAAAGAGCTGCTGATGAAATGGAACTGATAAAATGGAGGTAATTTAAAGGTCAGATGAAATCCAGCTCATGCTCATCCTGCTCTTAATGGAACATCACCAAGATGCTTCATTGGCAAAGGGGCATTTATATGTATTTTTATTTTTTAAAAGACATTGCTTATCTGTAACAGAGACTCTAAACATCTGATAAGAAGACTTCCCACATTAATCTAACCAACAGCTGGCATCCTGCTGCCTGCCTGGGTGTCCCTTTCTGGAAATTAAATCTGCTATCATCTTTTTATCACACTTTGGAGGGAAGAAATTGGAGCCAAATGCAGTGCTCAGATGAGCAGCAGAAGCAAGAGCTGAAACTGATAGGGCTGCATTAATTCAGGCATGCAAGACAAGTCACTGCTGCCCCCAGAACATTCCTTCCCCTTTGCCCGCTGCCCACAACGCCCAGTTACAAACTTTGGAGCTGGACTCCTCAGAGAGGGGGAAGGTCCCTTTCCTTGGCCAGGCTGTAGGTGTTGAGGTACTCTAGAGCCCTAGTGAGCAGGGATTTCAATGTGCAATGCAATCCAGTCCTCACACTGCTCCTCGTCTCTTACAGACCCTGCCTGACCTCAGCAACGCCCAGCGGGAGCATTGGGGGCACGCAGAGGAACGGGGTCTGCAACACGTGTTGCTTCTTTGCTGGCAGCAGAATTCAACTGGTAGGTGCTACAGATAAACCTCCCTCCACTGACAGAAAAAAAAACAGAGTTCATCTGGCTGCTCTGTTGCCTAGTGCAGCAAAAAACAATTCCAATGGGATCTGGCCTTCCCTCCAGTCTATTCTGTGCCTCTATCCTTCACATGCTCCTCCCCCAATCCCTATAATTAATATTAAACGTTACAGTTTTGTCCTATTAACACAAATTGGCCTTTCCAGAGGCAGATTAAAGAGTTTCCACTGGGGATTTCTCTCCTTTACAATTTGCCTTCTCTGATCAGTGATGTCTATGTCTCTCACTAGCTCCTAAGGGGAAAGGAGTGGGAGGGAAAGAGAAGACAAACACTTATTAACAACTCCTTTGAAGAGCTGGAGATTGGGAATTAAACTGATTATTAACTCCCATCATATCAACGAGGCAAGTTTCCCTTTTCTCCCTCCTTCTGCTCCTCCTCTGGGAATGGTAATTGGTAACCACACAAGTCGTGTGCATAAAGTTTCACCCAAATCATTTACAGGCAGCATAAACCATCAGACTCTCTTCATTTCTCTGGGGAAAGAGGGTGTTTGTTGCTTTTTTTTGCTGCTGTTGTTTTTGTTGCTCAGTGATAAACACAGGTACATAAAACAGACATAGACATGTAGACTTACACAGATGTGCCAGTGTGAGGTGTTGGCAATTTCCATTTGCATGACCCTTCCAGATTGGTGCTTGGAACAGAAACACACGTGTTGGCCCTGAGGCAGCTCTAGTTCCCTTCCCAGATGGGTCCTCAGTGATATTTTAGTTCTGAATCCTTAAGGGGCACGTAGGGACAGACCTGACTCATCAGACATGTGTCACTTGCACTCACCATCACCAGGGCTGGCAGCAGGACCCCACCCACAGCACCACACACAAACCCAGCCACCACCACAGCCAAACTTCTCCAAGCCCTCACTCTGACCCCTCATGAACACAAGCCCAAGAGAGGAAGAGGTGTTCAAAACCTCTGGGCACCTACAAGTCTGGTAATCTGCCAAATCCATTCCATTTGTGCCTTTCTCAGAGATTCTTCCTCCTCAGAACACCAGCTCCAAGGGACAGTCTGGCCAGATGACACCACTGAGGGCTTTGGACATGAAGTAAAACATCTTTGAGCCTGTCAAGCCAAGGGAAAAGGAACACAAATTTTATCTGGCTTATTAAAACATTTCATAAGTAGATGACTGTTTCTGGGGCTGTGATAGTAAATGGATAACTGAATTTAGCCACAACAGCACCAAGAAAGCCTGGCCAATGACAATTCACTGTGACAGCTCACCATACTAATTAAGAACCAGTAGCCTAATGAGATGTACAATCTATTAAACAAGATGCAAGTTTACAGTGAATAAGCTATTTATAATCAAGTTGCATTTATTTAGTGTACAGCAAGCCTCTTATAAAATCTGAATTAAATGCAGAACTACCTGTAGATGCATGTCATTTATTTTAAATGTTTCAGGATGCAGTAGCTTTTTCAGCAAAGAGAACTTAATCAGTCCCTGGAGCTTTCCCTTCCTGTGCTAGGACAAGGCAGGAGCTGCTGTATTGATTTCTAGCATCCAGTGCTGCCACGTGAGCCAGTTTATTGGGCCAACAAAATGTTTAACAGACAAGGTCCCAGAGGAGCCAGGTTTTATCCAGTAGAGGCACACCCTCTATGGATAGCTGGTGTAACGTTAACTGAAATTTATCAGACAATAAATACATCACATCACCCAGTGCCAGGAGCAGAGCCTGGCTGCTCAAAGTCCACCCTAACACCCCTAATTTAATTTAGAACTTTGTCCACCTTCTGTTACGGCAGTTTCATCTTGGATTCCTCCACAACCCTCCACCAAAAGAGCACGGACTTTTTGAGGAAAAGATGCTGTTTTACCAGTGTTAAAAAGCATCTTGTATATAATTTATGTAGGCACTAACCTGCTCCCAGCAGGCAGATCCAGAGGGCTGGGAAATGTCTCTCTCACACTTCCTTCCCAGTGAGACCTGCCCAACTTCAGCCAAGCTGTGGGTCCTTGCAAAGCCTCAACTCCCATAAGTTTATAAAAGTTCTCAGAACTTTCTTCTCCCCTACAATTGGACAACTGCTTGAGCACATCCTTGGGGGAACAAAGACAAGATATAATCAACACAGTCTTCAAGTTCTCATATCCAAGATTTTGGAGCTTTTTTGGAATGCTGAGACTTGTAACAGACTGTTACAGGATTCCCTGGGTTTTTGAGGAACATCAGCTAAATGAGAAGTGGCCCAGCTCCAGGTTCTGGAGACTATTTCAATGTGGAATAAAGTAATCACCCTGGCAGTTCACCTCTGGAAGCCCTGAGGTGGTTCAAATCTCAGTGTCAGATCCTTATCCAAAGATTTTCCCAGAGGAATTCAGTAAGTTGGACAGAGCTTCAATTCACAGACTTTAGAAAAGGAGTATTTTCCTGTTTAAAAGTCCAGGAACTATGAAGTTTTTATAAAGAGATGGTTGTCACTTTTATGTGGGCAAAAAAGACTTTGGAAGCTCTCTGATATTCCTGGGATTGAATATGAATATCCTCGAGGCAGGACATATGGCACAGCTCAGATTTGAAGGTACTTTTCTTGTGAGTCTGCAGAGAATAGCTTGGAGGTACAAAAAATATATGTGTGTGTGTATATATATATATATATGCAATAAAGCTCTCCAAAATTTATTTCAGTAACCAAGCTCTGGCTCTTTGATAGAGTTTTTCCACTTAAAATACTATGAATACAAAGAGTGCAAAATCAGAAATATCTCCACTGGTTTTGTCCACACAGGAGTCAGGTGATTGTCTCCAAAGTTCTGCCTAATATTGAATTAAACTGCTTCAAACCAAGGCTACTCCCTCCTATTCTCTCCCTGCCACAGCCCACAATGTCAAACACATTCTCTACCAGTTGAAGGGACTGTTTTTCCCATGGATAAGTGATCTGGGAGGAGAATGGAAGATTTATTTCCATGACGAGAAATCTCTCCTAGACCATGACGACATGACATGAAGAGTTAAAAAGCTGAGCTCTGTTTGCACTTCCACTGCAAGCAGAAATGTGCAGGGATGGGTTTTGGTGTCTGTTATGTTCAGACAAGGAGCCAAAGGCAAGCGTGGCATCACAAGCTGCTGCAGTCCCCTTTGAAAGCTGCCCATTGCTTTGATTTACTGCTTTTTGTTTCCAGACAGCAGCTTCGTAGACTTGGTAATCAGGCAGTAAATGCAAAGTGAGGCCAGTCTGGTCATAGGCATGGAGATTTTATGAGAGAATTGTGATTTCCATGTCTCAGCCAAGTTGTTTGTCACCCCCGGTGTTTCCGTGCCTTCCCTGAAATCTAACAAAGCCTTTTCTCTTTGCACACACTACATAAATCACTTCCGTTCGCTTCAATTGCCTCGGCAGAGAGCTGTTTTCATGGGGAGGGAAAGCTATAGAAGACAAAAAATGCCAATGTGGTGCAACATGAAGAACAGGCTGGAACTTTTCTCTGATTTGTCCAAAGGAAAAATGTATGGTAACACTCTGGTTTTTTACTACAAAGAATTGTATTGATGCTTGGGGAAAAAAAATATAAAAAAATCAGAGCTAGTGTATGTTTACAAAAAAAAAAATAAATCCATTCTGTTTACACCCTGAGATTTTTGCATTCACTCCTTTCAATAAACACAGGCCACTGATGCTTGCAGGGATCTGCAAAGGCTTTGCAATGCTGGGCTTTGCCAGCACGCAGCATGTAAAGGCAGCAACAGAGAGATGCTGCAAAACTTGCAAGCAGCAGCACTTTGGTTTTGTGCCAGCTGAACTGTAGACCCAGAATGCCTGGAGAGTCATTAGAACCCATCGTGATTTTAATATTTTGAAGAGGGAAGAGAATTTTGATTCTGGCAGAAAAAGAAATCTTGCAGTTAGAGCAAGAAGAATGGTGGTCTAAGATTCTCCAACATGCACCTGTGAGACTGTGCAAGAGGAAGTTAATCTTCAGTATCTTAGGAAAACCAAGGGATTCCGTTCATTAATGGTGGCAGTCATTTAGAGGAGGAGCTTTATCAAGTGCTATGATCAAGCACAGCTTGATCAGAGAGGAGCATTCCCTCCATTCATATTTGGCAGAGGATAAGTCACTGCTGAGAGCTGCCAGATTCCCTTTGCTGAACCCAACGAGTGGCCCGTGCTAATCCCCTTCTCCAGCTGCTGAATCTGTGGTATCAGACAAAATGCTGGAATCAGAGCTCACTGAACAAACTTTGCAGCCCCCCTGGGGGTGGCAAGGGGGGAACTTTGTCCAAACCCTGGGTGAACACTGAGCTGAGGGAGGGCATGAAAGAGACCTTGTACCAGACACAGGGTTTAGCTCAGCAAGCTGCAAAGGAATACGTAGCCCAAGGCAGTAACAAGCAACTTGGCAAATATGTTAAACTCTCTGTTCTGTCTTTTACCTGAGGCACAGGTACCTCACCTGAGGCAAGGAGTTTAGGTGAGGTGAGTATCTCAACTCACACAGCCCTGCTGAGATTTTCAAATGGCACCTTTCACGCTCCTGTAGGGCTTTCAGGATCAGGTATCAGTAAATCTAGTGCAGAGGTGTCCTCACTAACCCAGCCCTACATCAGAGCTCTCTGCCTGAAATACAGGGGCAAAAACAAGATGCTGTCATGAAAACCAATGAAGTAACTCAAGTCAGTGATGCTCAGAGAAATATCTGCAAGTCCACAGGACCACGGTTTTAAATAACAAAATAAAACAAATCATTTGCCTAATGACCTCTCAAAATCCATGCTTACCCCACTAGGGATGCCAGGATTGCTCTGGATGGCAGTGAAACAGCCAAAGCTCCCACTCAAAATAACACAGCAAAATAACTGATTTGGACAAATCAAGAGGGTTTGTGATATTCTGTGATACTGAAGGAAGAATTACATTCTACCAGAGAGAAGTCCTTACTAACAGGACACCTCAGCAGTGCAGCCAAGCCTGGAGGCACCTCAGAAGGGTGAAAAGGTTCCACTTTTGGTGTCTCCCACATACACTCTACTGAATTCACGAGACAAGTGAAGCAATGTAAGTGTTCAATGTATTTGTTTCCATTTATTTCCCTCTTTATCCTCCTGTATCTTCTTGGGTTTGGGATTTTTAATTTTTTTTATTTTTTTTTTGAGAGGTGTGGGATTTTTGTGAGTGATTATTGTTTTGTTTGTTTTTATTCCAAAACAACAGGAATGAAGAGGGCAATGTGCATAGATCTAGCTCTGCTCTGTATCCTTCCATACCTCTGCAAAAGCTGCTGCCTGCTCATTTCAAAATAAATAGAGGGTTTCTTTCATTTAAAAGCAAGATAAAGGGTAGAAAAGCTCCATTTCCCACAGCACTTAAGGGCAGCTAAGGCAGGAGCAACGGGCTTCACAACACTAAAAGCTAGAAGAGTATTTCATATGTTGTATGCACAACACCCAACAAGTTCTGACAAGATTGGCTGTAAAAGTAGCTTTGGCTTCTTTTCCATTCACAGGGTAATGTAACCAAAAAAAGTTTTATTGGTCAAGATTTTTGAAAGAAATAGTACTTCTGGATTTTCAGGAATCACCTGGTAATTGTTCTGAGCAGGCCAGAAACAATTAACCTAAATCCTGTGAGCTTCTAGTGAGAATGTAATTTTATTTTAGGATTGCACTGTAATTCTAGTGTGATTTTTGTACGGCTACAAGGTCCTTGCTGCTTTCTTACTGCAAGATACTGCATAAATTGTAACCATGACAAGCCTCAGCAAGACTACTCACAGCTCAAGTGTCATTATTTGACATATGAGACATGGAAATTTATTAATAACTCAGCACTCCTAGGGGGAAACTACCATCCATTCTGTTTTAATTCCTCTTCCTCAGGGATTACTTCCTTAACCTGGACATGGGAGGACAAACACACATTCAAATCATGTTGGACTCAAGTGAGCTCTTTTTCTGGCCTCGTGCAAACTTTTAGTGTGTCATGAAATCATCCTAGCCCAGGGCTACACAGCCCTTCCAGAGGGTCTGTGATCACAGGTTGGCTATCACCAGGCTCATGGGGCCCAGGTTTCCAACAATGAGAAATCAGTTCCTTCTTGTCAAGAAAGAAAGTGCCCAGGAGTGGGAAGGTCAAGGATAATCCATGGAACTGCTCTGTCTGCAGAGGAAGTTGTAGGGCTGGACCTCAAATATAGTTAGACCTGTAATTTTAAACACATGTGGGGTAACAGGCTGTCAAATAGAGGTATTTGTTGTGAATTTCAGTCAAAAATATCAATTACCTACACCACAAATCCCTCACCCCCATCCCTTGTAGCCTTCTGGTCTTGGGCTGCTGAATTTCCCATGCAAGACACCAGTGGTTGTTTCCCAAAGAGCCAATGCATATCGAAAGAGAATTTATCAAACTTTTCATCAGTGTTCAATTCTAAGAATATTTTTAGACTATGAATACTTCCAAAAGTAGTGGAAGATGGACCTTTACATTAGTTCTAGTAAATTCTTTCATCTGTACATCGTTTAAGTAAAGAATCTTTTTCTGCACTTTATAAATTATAAATTATTGCAGAAACACTTTATGGTGTTATTTTACCAGCAACTACTTTCTTAAAAAAAAAAAAAAAAAAAGAATCCCAGGTTCTCAAGCTTCTAAGAAAATTGTATTTACTTGAACCATCTTGCATAGAAATAGCTTACTCGACATGGAAATTAGCTGAATAGGAAATTACTTTATAGAACCTCTGTAAAATTCTGTGAACTTAACTCTAATTTAAAATTTGTTTTTCATTTGTTCAGTGTCAAAAAGGCAAGTAGTGCTGCTGTAGCAATTTGAATCTCTGCCTTGGGAAGCACAATCCAAGTTCTTGGGGCACTGTTTCCTCATTAGCCATTCTCCAAAGAACAAACTGACAATAATGGATTTAGTATTCCCAAGACAATGCTGAGTGTACTTTACTGCTGTATTGGCCACCTCTTCACCAAAAATCCTGTCATTTATCTGGGGAAGGAAGGCAGTGCATGGTCAACTTGAAGGAATTTATCACCATTATTGAATTTAGTATCAGATTTTGAATTCTAAAAAGCAAGTAGCATAAACTGACTCTACCTGCTATAAAATCCAGAGATGGAAAACAGATCAGGAATGAAATCAACTTGCAGTTGTGAATGAATCTTTAGGTTAATTCTCAGCACAGAGTGCATGGTCCCCTCACAACAGATGGATTTCCAAGACCTTCTGTGTTCTCCTTGTCTTTAAGCAAATCTATCAACTATCAAAAACAAAATGAAGCCACAGCCTACCAGGAAGAACAGTTTTCTTCACAGAGAAGAATTTCACGTGCATTGTTCAAAGGGAAAGGATCAGGGAGGAGCCACATAAAGGAAAACCAGAGAAACAGATATTCCCTGGCTTTTTTCACTCCTCATGCACACCCTTCCCAGCAGAAGTCCCCAAGTTTTAGCTCAGTGCTGGAAAACAAATTAAAAACATTATCTTTGTTGTGCTTTATATTGAAGAGAATCCATCACTCACA